TGCAGCTCTCACAGCAAGAATTACCGCAAGTCAATGTGCTTCACTCTGCCCTCCAGTCAAGGCCTTCGACACAGGAGGACCATGGCCTTGTTGTCAGCGGTACAAGGTCGGTGCTGAGTTAGGCCGCTCACCTAGGTCATTGAGCAAGTACGTCAACCAGCGAAGCTCCTGAGCAGCCATGGCACCGCCGTAGATCTCAGCCTCAACACTGGACGAATCCACAGACGACGACCGACTAGACCTCCATGGCACAGCTCCAGAGCCCAGGCTGAAACAGTACCCCTGAGTAGACCTGCAGGTCTCCAAGTCGTCAACTTAGGACGAGACGCATTGCCCGGTCAGTACTACTAGCTCTCTCCCTCCAAGCACAAGCCCCATGCCTCATGTAGTCACCAGGTACTTCGCTACCCTCACACCAGCCGCCTAGTGAGCAGGATGGTGTCTCCCAGTCGCAACAAAGCGAGCCAGGACGCTTAGAGGATAAGCAAGGATTTGAAGAGTACATGTCATTAGGTACATGAGGCAACCCAAAAGCTCTGCGTAGGGACCACTAGACTCAAAAGGCTCGTATGTGAGATTAGCAGTGAGTCTGTGGTCAACGGCAAGAGGAGTGGGCTGTGTGGTCGAGAACTAAAGCTCGAACCGATGAAGGACCTGCTGCACCATGTGTGACTGAGTCAGTGTGATGGTGCGAGCGGCTCTGTCCCTGGTGATCTGCAAGCCTAGGTATTGGCGCAGTTCACCAAGGTCAGTGCACATCTGTCTCTTCTGCAGTTCGGATTTCACTAAAGCCATAGCAACCTTGTCTGCTGTGGCGAAGACCAAATCGTTGATATAGACGAGGATGAAGAAGGGGGTGGGACGATAATGCAAGAACAGTGAAGGGTCGGCGGACAAAGGACTGGACCCAAGGCCAGCAAGAGTGGTGTTGTGCCACTCACGAGGTGTCTGGCGCAGTCTGTAGACTTGTCGTCTCAGGTTCCAATAGGTCGCAGGCGGGAAAGTGTCAGTGAAGCCAGGAGGAGGGCGTATCTAGAAGGCTGCCCTGGAGAAAGGCAACGGAGAAGCCTAGTGAGTGCAAATCGTAGTCTCGCTGTGGTGCGACGTGAAGTAAAACCCGAAGAGTAGTCATCTTTGGGGTGGGGGATCCAGGCGGCGATCCAGGCAGTCGCTTCATCTTGAATGTCATCAACTACATTCGCCCTGGGAGGACGAACTACGTCGACGTAGGCACCTGTGGATCTCCAAGATGCCATCTCTGAGTCCATGGCCGATATCCATTGAGAGGCCCACGTCCCCGACACTACCTCAGCGTGAGTGCAAGGAGTCGGTATGTCAAGGGCGTTGGGGTCTCCCTCAGGGGCTAGCAGCACGGCACAGAGATGGGGAGAAGCGACTGCCATGAACTCCAACTCAAACTGCCTGTCCTCTAGGACGTCACAGCCAAGGGCAGACTCACCCCTGGCGGACAGAGGATGGGTAGGAGGAGCAGCCAGTACGCGGGTGGCGTAGTCAACGCGACGGGTGGCGGCAAAGTCAATGACATCGGCAACAAGTGAGGAGACAGACGCTTGACATCTTGCCAGGCACACTTGGTGCAGCGTGGATGCGATGAACGACCCTTCTGGAAAACCGGACCTCGTGATCCTCTGCATGAACAGCAGGTCCTCCAGTCCTTGCCACTGTAGCCCCGAGTTCATTTTCGCCAAGCCTTGCTTCAGAAACAGTACCACCTTCTGCACCGCTAGGTAGCCGAGCTAACAATGCTCTAGCATCTCCTCCCTTTTGCACTGCGGGCAGCAGACTTTTTCTTCATAAATCGCAGCCTCGTTCCCACCTGTAGATTCTACAGTGCAGCCATAGCAGAACTTCTCGTGCTCGGGCAGGGGATGAGACGCTTGAAGGCCAGCTGCATCCGCTCCGCTTCCCATCTGTTCGTCGGCTCCGACATCGTGCTGTAGGGGGTGCTCCAAAACACCTGAATCATCTCCTTCCACCTCCGGCTGCCCTTCCCCCAGTGCTTAAGCAGGGGCTTGTGCGCGAATATCGTGTCTAGACCGAGCGGCAGCTCCGCTGCCTTCAGCGCCGGCCACTTCTTAACTGACTCCGGCATCATCACCATTCAGCTCACGTTCTGCACCATGATGCTATTGAACCACTTCTTGGGGCAGATCATCCCCGGCCCTCCTTCTTCCCTCGGCGTGCAGATCACTTCATAATTCCAAAGGATAAAATGCTTCTCCTCCGTCGCTCGCCCACCTAACACGAAATTGTGGCAAATCTTCTGTATTTTCACCCACATTTCCTCCGGGGGCGAGTACACCTGCGCTTGAAAGAGGAAGATCGGCGTGATGTAACTATAACTGATAGTGACTCTTGCAGTCGTCGTTAAGTGCTGCATTTTCCAACAAGCTAACTCCCCCCTCGCCCTGTCCAACGCCCCAGGATGGCATCGGGTTCCCATTCGGCGTGATTCACACCCCCAGCAATCGCTCCAGTTCATCCGTGCTGGCCCACTTATATTGCAGGTTTTGCGGTGGTTGACTCCCTCTGTTCTTCCGGAGCGGGAAGACCACTGTCTTGTTGTGATTCAACTTCAGCCCGGACACTTCTCCGAAGCCGTCGAGCACCTCCGTTGCTGTGCTAGTCGCTCTTTCCCACGTAGCAGAAGGGAGGTCGTCGGCGTACCCCAGGTATGCCAGCTTCCCCAACCCTCTCTTTCCAATGCCCAGTTTCCGCCGGCTTATTTCTTGACATAGTGGTTCCACTGCGCAGAGGAAAAGGTCAGGGGCCAGCGAGCAGCCTTGCCTCACCCCCTTTTCCACCGTCCCCCATCCATCCGTTAACGTGCACCCTAGTCCCTGCGCGCGTTGTGCAGGCCCTCCGTCCAGGCTACGAATTCTTCCGGGAGCCCCATGTCACGCAGCGTGCGGAAAAGGAAGCTTCTCAAGATTGAGTCGAATGCCTTTTGAAAATACCAATCCTCCCTGCCGTTCGCGCCTGCATTGATGGCGTTCGCCACTACCTTCGGCCCGGTATGAAACCAACTGGGTTCTCCGATATCACTTCGTGCATCACATTTTTTAGCCAGCTCGCCATCACCTTCGTTGTCACCTTGTATACAGTGCTCAGGAGTCTGATCGGCCTGTAATTGCCCAAATTCTCCTTGCTCCCTTTTTTGTGCAGCAGGATGGTTACCACCGTCGATATGCTCACCGGCAACTCTGCCGTCCGTGTGAAATCTTTCACAAAGCCCATAACGCACGTCCGAGCGGGTCCCAGTTTTGTTCAAACAGTTCCTTCGGAAGCGCGTCCTGTCCCAGCGACTTCTCCGGTTCCAGCTCCTTTACTGCTTTCCGCACTTCTGCCTCTGACCAGGGCGCCCGAATCGCCGCTTTGCTCTCCTCTCCCAGCTTCCTTTGCAGGCTACCACTTGACTCGACGTCGGCCACCGCCGTGCCGCTGCCGCAGAAGGCTTCCCAGAAAATTTCAGTCGCCGCCAGAAGCACTGCCCTCGCTCCAGAGAGCCTGGCCCCTTTGTAAATCACTTCCTTAATCATGGTCGTTGATTTCCACACTTTGCCGAGAGAAAACCTGGCACCTCCTCTCCATCCATCTCTGCTGTCACCGCCGCCCGTGTTCGTAGCTTCTCCCGGTGGCTTTTCTCATACTCCAAGAGTTACTCCTTTTTTAGAAGAATCGCCCACGTGCGTTGACAGCAGGGGTTCAGCATGAGGCGGTGGCGAAAGATCTCCACCTCCTTGACCAAATGCGCCCTTGTTGCCTCGACCCTCTTCCTTTCCTCCCGCGAGTATGCCCTCAAGCACGATGTTAATCGCAGAAGAAGCGCGTCAAAGTTCTCGGTGTTACCCTTGAGCACCTTCTTTACTTTCTTCCTAACTCCGCCCTTCCTTGCCTGCTTTGCCCCCGGCCTCCATATGCCAGGTCCCCTTGCCACTGCTGCAGACGATTCTAGCGCAACCGCCATTGCGTACCAGTGGTCCGTCATCTTATTCGTGGTCGCCGTGTGCCACACACCTGTCATCTTGCTCAGCAGCGGCTGCGTCACCTGTGCCCGGTCGATCTTGGAGCTGCCCTTCTGCGCTTTGGAGTAGAAGGTGTACTCCCGCTTGTTCGGATGCATGTAACAAAACGCGTCCTTGAGCTCTGTATTGCCCCAGCACTCCAGAAGCCTCTGATTCTCCGCCGTTGATTCCACCCTGTAGGTCCGATCCCACTACGGGTCCTCCACTATATTCATGTTGCCCATCAACAGGATGTTCTTGAAACTCTGTAAGCTTTGGATGAAAGGTTCCAGGCAGTCTTTAAAGAACGGCCCCTAATTGACCGCTTGTGGAGGAAGGTACATCGCCATGAGGAGCAGCTCCAGATCCCCCCAGCGAACTACCACCCCCAACAGCCTTCCCGACTGGCCCGTGTAAACGTCTATGAAGGCCATGCCAGGTAGGAAGCTCGCCGCCGCAACACCCCCTGCTCTATCTGTTAAACCAGCTGCAACTACCGAGCTGGTTTAAGTTGGGTCCAGAAATTGTGGTCCGCTTGAATCCTTGTGTCTGTGAGTACTGCCACAACCACCTTGTTTATCTTATATTGTATCAAGTTCTTACACTTCACGCACTTCCCCGCGCTGCCGAGCCCATTGATGTTGAGCTCGTAGAAGTTCAATGTATTCCTCTTATTCATTAATGAACGGTACCGAGGCCCCTTCGCATCCACGGGCGAGGAACTGCAAGCTACTACCGAGACAAGTAAGAAAGCTCTGACTCCCACACCACACAGCACTGCCATGCTACCACTCCTAGTAACACAGTCGCAACGCCGTTGGCTCATATCCCAAACTCCTTCTTGATGACCATCAGATTTTTTGCACCCCTGTTGTTCCGTGTGGCCGATCCATCCTTGTTCAGGCAGAGTAGTGACGGAAAGATTGCAGATGCGCTGCTTCCTGACTGAATGTTGTGCCATGTGCTTTCTCGCAGGCCGCCTGCACGCAAACCCAGACCTCCTTCGACCCCCCGAAGGAGATAAGAGCAATAGCCCGGTCCAGTAGGATGTTCTTGACCGCACCTGCAGCTTTCAACGAGGCGGCTGTGTGTCGGGCGCATAGCTTCGTGGTCAGCGATAAGCGTCACGGAAACATGGAAAAGAGCGTGAAGGTGCGAGACAGCTACAGCATTACCATTGAGCTCATGGATCCTCCTCAAGGTAAGATTCCATTTGCCGATGTTCTCCTGACGAGCCACCACGTAAGCATCGTGATTCTTTGACACATGGTGGCCGCTGCATAGCGAGCATGCGAGTTCCAGGTTATGCACCAGCAACTGCTTGTCGCAAGTGATATCAGCCACATGCCTCCAGCGTAGATTGTCGCCATCATGCACAGCAACCAGGCCCTTAACGCGGTCAGTATCCACACCAGTGACCGGATCTTGCACCCGATGAAATGCCAGCCCCTTGGCAAAAGCACTCCTGCCGCGCTTTTCCAGCTTCACATCAACCAGGGACTTCCTTATCATCTCGGGTGATTCTCCGCCGCGACACCCTTCATCAGGACTTTAATAAGAGCCGGGTTCGTAGCACGCTCCCTTGCGTACACCGCATTCTCAAGATGCTGCCGTTCCAGTTGGATACGGTTGTAATCCAAATACTTGTGCTCCACTGCGTGACACCAAACAAATTTAGCATCCGCAGCATCAACAAAGGTAACCTGCAGGCGACCGTATCGCTTCTTCGAGAGGTAAGCAGGCTGCAACTGCGGAAATCTCGTCGTCGTCACGACGTCTGTCGTCAAGGACGTTTTCCAGAAAGCCATCAACTGCTTCAGCATATCTTTCACCCTTGGCACTTCAGACACGTAATCGTTAGGCACGAGCAGAGTGATCGAAAACGTTGCTTGTGATGCGATTTCACCCAACATTTCCAGATCCGCCACCTCATCCGGATCCTCACTCAAGGAACCATCATCCTCCAGATCGTCCACAGGCCTTGCAACTTCGTCAGCAGCAGCATTTCTGTCAGACGATTTGATGGCGCCTTGATAGCTCCTTAGACGCTTTGGAATCATCCTGAGTAACTCCAATGGAACCGTCAGCATCTAACAAAACCGAGTGGGATCGAGCAAATTGGAAACCTTGACCAACAAAAGTAGACGCGATGCCTGCTCTATAGGCACAGTTTACATGTCTTCTAGTTGAGCTTGACAAGGCGAATCCAATGGTGTATGCTGATCTACTAACTGATAAGAAATTGATAGACATTGAGGTATTTGAAGTCCCTGACAATATCCATGGCAGCTCTAAGGCGGGAAGCATTGTCATTCTGTTGAGAATTATGGCAGGAGGCGTGCAGGAGGCAATGGGCACTGGTGGGGTATGTTGGGGCTAGCACTGCTTGTGGTTGGTGCTGCTGGTGCTACTGGCACTACTGGTGTCTGGTGGTGGCGGCAGCGGCAGTTGCGTACGTGGGAGCTGCTGTGTGTGCAGCTATTGCTGTCGAGAGGGGCTGTGGGCGGCTGGGAGGGGCTGTGGGCGGCTGGGAGGGGCTGTGGGCGGCTGGGAGGGGCTGTGGGCGGCTGGGAGGGGCTGTGGGCGGCTAGGAGAGGCCGTGGGCGGCTGAGAAGGGTTGTAGGCGGCTAGGAGGGGTTGTGGGCGGCTGGGAGGGGCTGTGGGCGGCTGGGAGGGGCTGTGGGCAACTATGGGCGGGCGGGTGGACTGCGCTGGGTGCAACCGTGCACGGCTGTTAGATGGAGCTGCTGCATGCAATGCAGCAGTGCGTGCGTGCGCTATGTAGGCAGCAGTAGGTGCTGTGATGTCCTCAGTTGCAGTTGTGCGCGCCGCTCTGCGTGGTGCTGCGGTTGTGCGCGGCGCTACTCGTGCTGCCACGGCTATGCGTGCCGCAGCTGCCTACGGCGGGGCGCGCGCTGCTGTTCGAGGTGCGCGCGTGGCCTACGGCGGGGAGCGCGCTGCTGCTGGCGGTGCGCGCACACGGCCTACAGCGAAGCTCGCGCTATTGCTGGTTGTGAGCGCGCTGCCTACAGCAGGGGCGCGTACAGCAACTGTAAGAGCGTGTTCCTACACCTCGTATCAGACACACCTCCTATCAGCTTCGCGTGGTGAAATACGTTTAATTGTGTTCGAGTGCGGTTGGATGCGTTTTAGTGCGGTTCGACGCGAATCTGATACAAGGTTGCCTGATATGAGGTCGTAGGAACATGCTCTAAGCGCGCGAAATCGCTGACTAGGGCGCGCGACTGTGGTGGACGGGATGGCTGGCTGGTGAGTGGCGTTACAGCATGCTACTATTAGATGGCTAGGTAACCAGGCATAGGAACATCTCGATGATACCATTTAGAGTTAGGTCGAGCGGAAGTGATGTAACTAGGAGAATGTCGAGATACAAATAGCAAGGGGTTGTCCACTATAGGGATTACCTCGCTATGGCCTAGCATAGCTAACATATATAATAATATAATTTCATACGAAACACGGTTAACAGTAACGGGCGAAGAAATGGTCGGTCTTGTACGCGTTGCTGAGATTCTCAGTAAGGAATGCCGAAAAAATCCTTGCACTATCCTTAGATGAGAGATTATACACTAACGAACTCAATATAGCATAAACGCTTTAAGAAATGGAACTTCTTACATGAAATATGCGTATATGATATGTCGAAATCTAGGAGAATCCTATGACGAGGCACCAAACACCTCAACCCCTTCCAAACTCACACCCAGAATCTTTCGAAGTCCTTCACCCACGCGACTAGAGGCCATATCCTTTCCTCGCACCCCGTTTCGCCAGGCAGTCTTTAAAGAACGGCCCCTAATTGACCGCTTGTGGAGGAAGGTACATCGCCATGAGGAGCAGCTCCAGATCCCCCCAGCGAACTACCACCCCCAACAGCCTTCCCGACTGGCCCGTGTAAACGTCTATGAAGGCCATGCCAGGTAGGAAGCTCGCCGCCGCAACACCCCCTGCTCTATCTGTTAAACCAGCTGCAACTACCGAGCTGGTTTAAGTTGGGTCCAGAAATTGTGGTCCGCTTGAATCCTTGTGTCTGTGAGTACTGCCACAACCACCTTGTTTATCTTATATTGTATCAAGTTCTTACACTTCACGCACTTCCCCGCGCTGCCGAGCCCATTGATGTTGAGCTCGTAGAAGTTCAATGTATTCCTCTTATTCATTAATGAACGGTACCGAGGCCCCTTCGCATCCACGGGCGAGGAACTGCAAGCTACTACCGAGACAAGTAAGAAAGCTCTGACTCCCACACCACACAGCACTGCCATGCTACCACTCCTAGTAACACAGTCGCAACGCCGTTGGCTCATATCCCAAACTCCTTCTTGATGACCATCAGATTTTTTGCACCCCTGTTGTTCCGTGTGGCCGATCCATCCTTGTTCAGGCAGAGTAGTGACGGAAAGATTGCAGATGCGCTGCTTCCTGACTGAATGTTGTGCCATGTGCTTTCTCGCAGGCCGCCTGCACGCAAACCCAGACCTCCTTCGACCCCCCGAAGGAGATAAGAGCAATAGCCCGGTCCAGTAGGATGTTCTTGACCGCACCTGCAGCTTTCAACGAGGCGGCTGTGTGTCGGGCGCATAGCTTCGTGGTCAGCGATAAGCGTCACGGAAACATGGAAAAGAGCGTGAAGGTGCGAGACAGCTACAGCATTACCATTGAGCTCATGGATCCTCCTCAAGGTAAGATTCCATTTGCCGATGTTCTCCTGACGAGCCACCACGTAAGCATCGTGATTCTTTGACACATGGTGGCCGCTGCATAGCGAGCATGCGAGTTCCAGGTTATGCACCAGCAACTGCTTGTCGCAAGTGATATCAGCCACATGCCTCCAGCGTAGATTGTCGCCATCATGCACAGCAACCAGGCCCTTAACGCGGTCAGTATCCACACCAGTGACCGGATCTTGCACCCGATGAAATGCCAGCCCCTTGGCAAAAGCACTCCTGCCGCGCTTTTCCAGCTTCACATCAACCAGGGACTTCCTTATCATCTCGGGTGATTCTCCGCCGCGACACCCTTCATCAGGACTTTAATAAGAGCCGGGTTCGTAGCACGCTCCCTTGCGTACACCGCATTCTCAAGATGCTGCCGTTCCAGTTGGATACGGTTGTAATCCAAATACTTGTGCTCCACTGCGTGACACCAAACAAATTTAGCATCCGCAGCATCAACAAAGGTAACCTGCAGGCGACCGTATCGCTTCTTCGAGAGGTAAGCAGGCTGCAACTGCGGAAATCTCGTCGTCGTCACGACGTCTGTCGTCAAGGACGTTTTCCAGAAAGCCATCAACTGCTTCAGCATATCTTTCACCCTTGGCACTTCAGACACGTAATCGTTAGGCACGAGCAGAGTGATCGAAAACGTTGCTTGTGATGCGATTTCACCCAACATTTCCAGATCCGCCACCTCATCCGGATCCTCACTCAAGGAACCATCATCCTCCAGATCGTCCACAGGCCTTGCAACTTCGTCAGCAGCAGCATTTCTGTCAGACGATTTGATGGCGCCTTGATAGCTCCTTAGACGCTTTGGAATCATCCTGAGTAACTCCAATGGAACCGTCAGCATCTAACAAAACCGAGTGGGATCGAGCAAATTGGAAACCTTGACCAACAAAAGTAGACGCGATGCCTGCTCTATAGGCACAGTTTACATGTCTTCTAGTTGAGCTTGACAAGGCGAATCCAATGGTGTATGCTGATCTACTAACTGATAAGAAATTGATAGACATTGAGGTATTTGAAGTCCCTGACAATATCCATGGCAGCTCTAAGGCGGGAAGCATTGTCATTCTGTTGAGAATTATGGCAGGAGGCGTGCAGGAGGCAATGGGCACTGGTGGGGTATGTTGGGGCTAGCACTGCTTGTGGTTGGTGCTGCTGGTGCTACTGGCACTACTGGTGTCTGGTGGTGGCGGCAGCGGCAGTTGCGTACGTGGGAGCTGCTGTGTGTGCAGCTATTGCTGTCGAGAGGGGCTGTGGGCGGCTGGGAGGGGCTGTGGGCGGCTGGGAGGGGCTGTGGGCGGCTGGGAGGGGCTGTGGGCGGCTGGGAGGGGCTGTGGGCGGCTAGGAGAGGCCGTGGGCGGCTGAGAAGGGTTGTAGGCGGCTAGGAGGGGTTGTGGGCGGCTGGGAGGGGCTGTGGGCGGCTGGGAGGGGCTGTGGGCAACTATGGGCGGGCGGGTGGACTGCGCTGGGTGCAACCGTGCACGGCTGTTAGATGGAGCTGCTGCATGCAATGCAGCAGTGCGTGCGTGCGCTATGTAGGCAGCAGTAGGTGCTGTGATGTCCTCAGTTGCAGTTGTGCGCGCCGCTCTGCGTGGTGCTGCGGTTGTGCGCGGCGCTACTCGTGCTGCCACGGCTATGCGTGCCGCAGCTGCCTACGGCGGGGCGCGCGCTGCTGTTCGAGGTGCGCGCGTGGCCTACGGCGGGGAGCGCGCTGCTGCTGGCGGTGCGCGCACACGGCCTACAGCGAAGCTCGCGCTATTGCTGGTTGTGAGCGCGCTGCCTACAGCAGGGGCGCGTACAGCAACTGTAAGAGCGTGTTCCTACACCTCGTATCAGACACACCTCCTATCAGCTTCGCGTGGTGAAATACGTTTAATTGTGTTCGAGTGCGGTTGGATGCGTTTTAGTGCGGTTCGACGCGAATCTGATACAAGGTTGCCTGATATGAGGTCGTAGGAACATGCTCTAAGCGCGCGAAATCGCTGACTAGGGCGCGCGACTGTGGTGGACGGGATGGCTGGCTGGTGAGTGGCGTTACAGCATGCTACTATTAGATGGCTAGGTAACCAGGCATAGGAACATCTCGATGATACCATTTAGAGTTAGGTCGAGCGGAAGTGATGTAACTAGGAGAATGTCGAGATACAAATAGCAAGGGGTTGTCCACTATAGGGATTACCTCGCTATGGCCTAGCATAGCTAACATATATAATAATATAATTTCATACGAAACACGGTTAACAGTAACGGGCGAAGAAATGGTCGGTCTTGTACGCGTTGCTGAGATTCTCAGTAAGGAATGCCGAAAAAATCCTTGCACTATCCTTAGATGAGAGATTATACACTAACGAACTCAATATAGCATAAACGCTTTAAGAAATGGAACTTCTTACATGAAATATGCGTATATGATATGTCGAAATCTAGGAGAATCCTATGACGAGGCACCAAACACCTCAACCCCTTCCAAACTCACACCCAGAATCTTTCGAAGTCCTTCACCCACGCGACTAGAGGCCATATCCTTTCCTCGCACCCCGTTTCGCCAGTGCAGCTTTCCCGTTTCTGCCCTTCACCCCCGCCAAGTGCAGCTTTCTTATCAGCGCGTCGCACCGCATCGTTGCTTCAGCTTGCCTTCTCCGTTCCGTCGCTCGCCGCGTCGTCCGGCGACATCATGTCGTCGCTACGGAATGTCGTCAAACGGAAGGCGCACAAAGAACGAGCCCAGCCGTACGCTCCGCTGCCTTCCCTCTCCTGATGATCCCCTCACCCCTCCCTCTCTTGGTTTCCAATAATTTGTTTCTCTTCATTGTCGTCGCAACGGCTTCGCCCATCGAACATCTTTCCGCATGTCGCAAGCGGGGAGGATCAGCCGCTTTCTCAGCTGCGCGCACCTCCGCCGCTGGCCTCCCGCGCTCAGTCCCCCCCGCCCCACACCTCACTTTCCGCCCCCCCTCGACCCCACCGACCCGTCCACACTTCAAGTCCCCCCACTGTTCCGCTCTCCCCTCACCCCCTTCCCCTTCCCCTCCCCCTTCCCCTTCCCCTTCCCCTCCTCCTTCCCCTTCCTTTCCCCTTCCCCTTCCCCGTCCCCTTCCCTTCCGCTCCCCGTTCCCCGCGCGGGCGGCAGGGTGGCGCGGCGGCGGCTGGGGCTGTTGGAGAAGCACAAGGACTATGTGCTGCGCGCCAAGGACTTCCACCGCAAGGAGGACGCCATCCGGGTCAGCCAAGGGGGGGAGAGCGGGGGGAGGGGGAGGGGGAGGGCGAGGGGGAGGGGCGAAAACGGGGGGGAAAGGGGAGGGTGTGCGTGTGAGGGGGAGGGGGAGGGTGTGTGTGTGAGGGGGAGGGGGAGGGGGAGGGTGTGTGTGTGAAGGGGTGGGGAAGGGGAGTGTGTGTGTGTGTGTGTGTGTGTGTGTGTGATTTTTTTCTGCCTGTGCGTTTGCTCTCTCTCTCTCTCTCATTTTCGTTCGCCTCCCCCCCCCTCTCTCTCTCTCCTCCCCCGTCCCCGTCCCTGCGCACATGGCGCTGCGTGTGCGTGCGTGCGGGGGCGCAACACAAGCAGACAATGAGGGAGAAGGCAGCGATGAGGAACCCCGACGAGTTCTACTTCAAGATGGAGCATTTTCACCTCAACCGCGGCCGCCACACGTGAGAGCCACTGCCCCCTTCCGCACCACAACACCTTGCGCTGCCATATTCACCCATATTCACTCATATTCACTCATATTAACTTATATACACCCATGTTCACCCATATTCACTCATATTAACTTATATACACCCATATTCACTCATATTCACTCATATTAACTTATATACACCCATATTCACTCATGCTCACTCATATTCACCCATATTCACTCATATTCACCCATATTCACTCATATTCACTCATATTCACTCTTATTCACCCATATTCACCCATGTTCACCCATGCTCACCCATGCCCACCCATGCCCACCCGTTTCCACCCATGCTCTCCATGTTCACGCATGCCACATTCCACTGTGTGCATCATCATCATCATCCACCCTCTCACTCTCTCTTACTCACCTTCCGTGGCATGCGTGGCGTTGTGCATGATGGCATGGCAGGCGAGTGGAGAAGGAGGAGTGGACGGAGGAGGAGGTGCGGCTGATGAACTCACAGGACATGGGGTACATCCGCACCAAGTGGCGCGCCGAGCAACAGGTGCTCCTCATATGCCACACATGTGCTGCGTGCCACATGTGCTGCGTGCCACATGTGCTGCGTGCCACATGTGCTGCGTGCCACATGTGCTGCGTGCCACATGTGCTGCGTGCCACATGTGCTGCGTGCCACATGTGCTGCGTGCCACATGTGCTGCGTGCCACATGTGTTGCGTGCCACATGTGCTGCGTGCCACATGTGCTGCGTGCCACATGTGCTGCGTGCCACATGTGCTGCGTGCCACATGTGCTGCGTGCCACATGTGCTGCGTGCCACATGTGCTGCGTGCCACATGCGCTGCATGCCATGTGCCACAGCTCTCAGCTCTACACGTGCACCAATGTGCTCTTTTCCTCTTTCTCTTGGCCCTCCCCTCTCTGTGTCTCCATGTTGCCCTTTTCCTACCCTTCTCTTCTCCCCTGCATATGCACCTGCGCTGCGTGCGTGCCTGTGTGTGTGTTTGCATGTATGTATGCATGCATGTGTGTGGCAGAAAGTGGAGAGGCTAGAAGCATCACTGCATAGGGTGGATGAGCCGCACAGGAATAAGCACCTGGTCTTCGCACACAGGCAAGCTCCCAGGCGCCATGCAGCATGTGCCATGCCATGCCATGCCGAGCCATGCCATGCCACTTGAGCCATGTGCCACATAGCTTGCCGCTCATGCCATCCCACGAGCCAGCTCCATTGTATGTGTCATGCACTGCATGTCAGTAGCACGCCATGAGGTTTCAAACTTTCGGTTACGGTGAGACTTGTACATCAGGGTCCGTTGCACCTCTCTTGCATCCAGTTCCTGACTGAACTCCGCGCCTGCTCTTGACCTTGCCCTCTCATGCACATCCCGTTCTTGCATGATGAAATGATGGAATCGGTGCCATCCCTGCGCCCATCCCTGCCATGCCACCATCCATCCCCGCACTTGGCCCCATGCAGTGACAACGACGCCACACCCCCCTCCAAGCGCCAGCGCCGGTCCTCCTCGCCGGAGCGTGAGGCCACTCCTCCCCCCGTCACGAAGCCCCTCAACACACGTCTGAATCGGTACCTTTCCAACCGTCCATCACCCCCCCATCACCATCGCCACCAGAAGCAGCCCTCCCAGTGGGCCACACTCATGCTGCACGCATACACATGCAACTCGCTCATGTGCCGTTTTGCAACTCTCACTGTTTGCCCACCTGCTTTTGCTGGTCCGTATGTATATCGCAGTTCCTCCTGGAATCTCCCCACCAAGGTTCAAAAATACGATATCCGTCAAATACGGCCGTTATTTACAATCAATTAAAAAAAAACAAATGGCCGTTTTCCTTAGTAACTTGGTAAAAAAAAAAGAGGGTCAGTCATAATTTAAATCATGGCCATGAAGAAAAACATGCAAAGCAAGGCTTACATGCGTGTATACAACTTGATGAGTCAGTCCTCCTCCTCCTCTTGAACCTTCTCACTTTAGCTTATCCTATGGGTTGGTGCCCCCCCTTTTTTGAAAACGACCGTATAAAATGGTCGTTTTTTGTTAGCAAGCAAATAACACCACCTGGAAACGTTTCAATTTAAACGGCCGTTTCATATGATACCGTGTTTACAGTGAATTTTCAAAAGAACGGCGTTTTTTTTGCACCCTGATCCCCACCATTCTGCCGTTCTCCTCCTCCTCCTCCTCCTCCTCCTCCTCCTCCTCCTCCTCCTCCTCCTCCTCCTCCTCCTCCTCCTCCTCCTCCTCCTCCTCCTCCTCCTCCTTCTCCTCCTCCTCCTCCTCCTCCACCTTCCCCCCCCTACATACCCACCGTCTTTTCCCCACTCCTCTTTGCTCTGCATCATCTTCCCCACCCACCCGCCCACCCGCCCACCCACCCACCAACCACCCGCCCATGGGAGTGCAGGCACCGAGAGGCGTTGTACGGGGAGCTGAAGGAGCGCAAGCAGAGGGCGCGGCGACTGCAGGCCATGCTGGAGGAGATGCGCCTCAAGCACCAGCGCATGGTGCGTGCTCTGTGCTGGGTGCTCACTGCTCAGTGCTGGGTGCGGGGTGCTGGGTGCTGGGTGCTGTTGCGAGGGGTTCTGGAGGTAGGACTAGGGCTAAGGTGACTGGGGAAAGGCGGGGGTGAGAGGGGAGGATGGCAGCAGAGGGCATGTGCAGTGAGTGTTGGAGGTAAGGATGGATGGATGTTGTAAGGCGCATGCATGTTCATTTGGGGATGTAGTCACGGGGACAATCGTCTTCCATGTGTGCACGTTGCGTTGAAACCTTTTTTTTTCCTCAACCTGATTGCTGTGCTGCATTTGTGCCTTGTCTTCTCTGGCGCAGGCTGATGGTCAACAAAAGGCGAAGAATGGTGCAACAGGAGATGATGACGATGACAAGCCAAAGCGAAAAATGCCCTCGAAAACAATTAAGGAGCGCAAGAGATAAGGTTTAGCAAAACATGTTTGGGAGTAGCTTAGTGGTGCTGCATTCTACACATTTGTAAAGCTAGTGTTTTGTACATTTAACGTGTTATATGTTGTCTTCACTTAGGGTATACTGATTTTGGTATGGTAAGCGCTACTATCAAGGTTACGGTAATGGTAAATGTGCAATGTAGCAGTGGAAGCCTCTGGATGAGTAGCCACTACGCAGTACGGCGGACGTTGGGTTCTTCCGCATCCAATCGCCGTCCGTCGTGCATTGTGCGACCACCACAAATCTTGGCCGTCGTAAAGTCTCGCTAGTTGGGCCATTTTCAGGTGCAATCTCTATAGTACAGAAAATATGTTCAGGTGGGAGCCCGGCGCATCATTCAAAGTTTCTGTTGCGCACTGTACACACGTGCCGGAACAGAGCATGCGCCACTCAAATCTGTACTCGCTGAGTGAAATTAATGCGCTCACACACGCTTCGTTTGCCCACGCTACCAGGAACTGCTAAGACATACCCCAAAAAACAAACTAAAAGCTACAATGACGCTGGACGCATTTTTGGAAGATCACCCTAAACACGGGAACCTCCTGGTGTTTAGGGTTGATGCCTCCCCAAGGTTTTCGTAAAAATAAAACCCAATCGGAACGGAATTGAATCGGGAAGCATCAACCTTAAACACCAGATGGGTTCCCGTGTTTAGGGTTGATCCCTCCCGAAAAGGCTTCCAGGTTCTCCAGGGGTTTTATTTTGTTTTTCGGGTGGCCTTCACAGCTTCGGGTAGTTTGGTCTGTTGTCTGTTTGATTCCCGTCAGAATGTGTAGACAATAAAATCCGTCAGCTGAACAGTGAGTGAGTGGCGAGCTTGTACCAGGGACTGTTGCGGCACTTGTGCACAGTTCCGGAACAGTGCTCGTAACAGTGCCGGAAAGCTGTTGGGCTCCCACCTGAGCACGTTTCCCGTAATGATGGGATTGCACCTAAAAATGGCCCCTCGCTAGTTTCTGCTTTATGGAAGTACATCAGTCGTCAGCGAAGGATCGCCGCCGGATTGCTTTCTGCGAGGCACGCGCTAAGCCCATCGCTTGTTTGGCAACTGGACTGACGACCAGAATTTTCCCGCGACCCTGGCTGCCCACTTCCCCCAACCAGTCTTGGGAGTCTCCACTTGCCCGCGCCATTCGCACGCCATTCGTTAACGCCTGCTTCTTCAGCTTCTTCACCAATCGTATGCAGGAAACAATATTCTCCCTCGCCCAACAACGAGTGCATCTTCGAGCTCTCCTCCTCCCATTCGCTAACTCACACGCTCATCCTAGCCCACCGGGCCACCACGGCACAGCACCAATTCCCCGCGCATTCCCCGCGTATGTGTGAGTGGGTGTCTATACCGCACTTTGCCGCTCTGCACCCAACCATTCCTTCTGGTCCCTTGGCGGCTTCAATAGAGCTTAGGGCGTGTCTGAAGTGAATTTCGACGTTTGCCGACAAAACTTTCGTCGACGTTCCTTGACGAAACTCGACATCCGTTTTCAGCTGTGTTCACTTCAGACACCCACACGACAAAATAACCCACACGTGCCATAGGAACACTGTTATAAGTTGCCCATGAAAATTCGACGTGGAATTAACAGAATCATTCATGTAACTCAATTGTTTGCAATCTCGCGAATTTCGCTTAGCATAGATTGTTGCTGGTAACACCGGATATTCTACTGTCACATTGCCAGCGAAATTTCTCTAGCACGTGTCGCTCTCGTCTTAGTTCTTATTCACGTGTGTTTGCCACAGCTATGCAGACATGGCGTGTCGAAGAATTGTTTTTGAAACACTCACTGACTACAGTGACTCAAACAGCTGCCCGGTATCACTGTTCGACATCCCTCGACATGTGCACGAACGTCGAGTTTCGTCGAGGGATGTCAGGCTGCACTTCAGACACCAACACGCGTGGGTCCCACGGATGAGTTTCGTCGACGAAATTTGACGAAACTCGACGTTTGCACTTCAGACACGCCCTTATGCTCGAAGCCGACCACGATTCCCGCCGCCACGCTCAATGCTAGATCTTCAATCAATTCCCCGCGTCAGTACGAAGCGACCAGGTGCTCAAAATCTTTCCTAGGATAGGACATTGTAGGTACTCCAGCTCTGGATCTTTCTAGTCCATCGTTGTTTCGAGCATTGAGGACCTCTCCGTCCCTATTCCCTATCACGCAAAACTTCTGGGTAGTTGATTCTCTCGTGGCGCGGGTCGGCGTCCTGGTCCGCGTTCAGCAGCCATGGGGGGGAACGCGGCGTACCGGCCGCCGTGTCCGGTGGTGTATCCGTCCTTGGACTGGCAACTCGAAGAGTTCCTCGCGTCGCTGCACGCCTCTGGTCACCTCGCCTCGCTCCGCACTCTCGCCCGCGCCCGCGCGGAGAGGCGCCGGCTAGCCGTCGCCAAGGCGGAGCGTGAAGCTGCAGCGGCGGCGGCGCATGGGGAGGAGGAGGAGGAGGAGGAGGCTGGGTTTGAATCGGAGCGGGACGAATGGGAGCGATGGACGCATCGACACGCGGAGGGCGACGAGGAGGAGGAGGAGGAGGACGCGTCCACTAGTACGGACTCGGAGTGGCGCGACTGCGAACCCGACTTCCGCGACGTGATGGCCGGCGGCGGCACCCTCGCACAGTGGGCCATGCGGCTAGGAGGCGTCGGCGGGGGAGCGCGGCAGCGCGTGGGGCAAGACTCGGACTTGGTGATTGGTTGCGAGGAGCGGGGTGGGGGGAAAGTCGAGCCGCGGCATTATAATAAAGGCGCCGCGAATGACGGCGAGGAGCAGATAATAACCCTGGCTGATCTCCATGGCTTCATGCAAGACCTGGAAGTCGACGACGACGATCTCGCCAAGGCCGGCTGGCGCCAGACGCTCAGCCGGAAGACGGACCGCCTCTCGTGTCGCGCGTGGTCGCGGGATCCCCCCGACGGCGGCCCGACTGTGTACCGCTGCCACATGGTGATCCGCAAGTGCAGCGCGGAGGCGGCGCGGGACTTCTTTCTGGACGAGGATTACCGCGCGGAGTGGGACGACACGCGCGCGCAGGGCAGCCAGATGCTGGAGGAGTGGGACCCGCGCGGCGAGTGCATCGCGCGCTGGGTACGCAAGTTCCCCTTCTTCCTGCGCGACCGCGAGTACGTCATTGCGCGTCGCGTGTGGTCGCTGCGGTCGCACACGTACCACTGCATCTCCAAGCTCACCACGCACCCCTCCGCGCCCCCGCGCGCCAACCTCCTCCGCGTGTCCGCCTTCACGTCCAAGTGGCGCGTCGCCGCCGTCACCGACGCGCAACAAATATCCGCCGTCTGGCCCCCCGCGCAGGGAACCGCGCAAGCATCCAAGGGAAAGTCCGCGCGCGGCCAGGTGCATCCCGGAAGCAGCGGCGCGGGGAGCGGCGTGTGCTGGAGGCAGGCGGGCGGAGAAGACCGGGGGGAAGGCAGATGCGCGGAGTTGCGGGCGGCGGAGGGGCAGGCAGGCCGGGGGGGAGGGGATGAAACACGGAGGGATTGTGATTGCGGGGAATGGGCGGGTTGTGCGGAGCAGGCGTGCGACATTGTGACGATACACGCGGAGGACTCGGGGGTGTCGCGCAACATTGCCAAGATGGGCGTGGCGCACGGCATGTGGTCGCACGTGGTCAAGATGGAGGCGGCGCTGCACGCGTACGTGTGCGCGGGGCGCAACGCCAAGCACTCGCTGCCCATGTTCCTGCTGCACGCCGATGCCATGCACGCTGCTGCCTCGGGCATCAGACCGCTGTGAGGTGCATTGCGGTGAAGTGCGGTGCAGTGGGGTGCGGTGGGGTGTGGTGCTCGTGAAGAGCGTGGAATGATCGGACGGTCGGACGGACGTGTGCTGCATGCCATGCTGTGGGGCAACTCGGCTTTCTCCATGCCCCATGTCCTTTAGCTGATGCCTCATGCCTCATGCCCAATCGCCCATGCCCCATGGCCCATGGCGGATGCTCCACGCCTTACGCCCCATGCCGCATACTCCATGTTCCACGCCCCATACCCATGCTCCATGCCTCATGCGCCATGCACCATGCTCTACGCACCATGCTCCATGCCCCATGCTCCACGCGTCATACCCCATGCCCCATGCTCCGTGCCATCCATCCACCGCACTGCCGCCACCGGCCATCCCCGGCCACTCGTCCAAGCAACTGTCTGCAGTGCCCCACCCCCGCCCTCCAAGTCGGTCACGAGGGCACCACCCCCTGCCACCCTCATCATGCGCTGCTACCAGTGATGCTCATGCAATAAGAGTCCGACCATTAGCCCATTCAGAGGGACATTTATGGATCGCACCGACCCGTTACAGACACGCTTCACTGGCTTACGCCACAACCCACCGGTAGTTATTGCTGCTTTTAGAATGCTCTTTCAGTCAAGCTGTAGGATTTAATGTGTGTTTTAGATGCGCTTTTGAGCTAATTATTTCCTAGAACGTGTAGTCTAGTGACTTTGTACGGTACTTCACCCTTAGCCTTGACAGTTTTAGCTAGTGCTGGCTTCATAAGTTAATATAACTTGACAAATTTAAACACTCTTTGATTAACTTCATATGTTTTGTTGCTATTAACGGGTAGGTTCGAATCGAGGTTATTCTGCCAGTAAGGACGTGTCTCAGACCGCCTCTGATCGCCCCGATCAGATGTGATCGAAATGTTCCTGGAAGCTAGGAATGCAATTTCAGGCAATCGGGGGCAATCACTTGATCGCGATCAATGGATCGCCCCAACTCGATCAACCGCCTAGAACAGCCCAATCACTGACGATCAACTGGATTGCATTGAATTGGGGCACTAAGCGACGCCAGCGAAACGTTACAGTGTTTCACTGAATTTCGTGAAGCTCTCGCTCATACGCGAGATTGGGGTGCTAAGCGACGCCACTAAAACGTTACAGAGTTCCACTGCGGGCATGTGTACGCGAAATTACAGGGAAACAATGAACTTCGCTAGATCCAAGCGGTGGCCAAAGTAGGCTTGAAAGTGTCAGGAAAGGGTAGCACGCTTGCCATGCACCCAACATCGAGCAATGCAATCAGGGGCAACCCGATCAGATCAGACCCCACCAGATCACAGCCGATCAGAGGCGGTCTGAGACACGTCCTAAATCAGATTGGTCGCGCGCCACAAGCACCATCAATCCAATCCCGCACTCTACGGCGTCTGCTCTTCACTCTAGAGCGAGCCATGGCGTCCGTTACCGCAATGTCATTTCCACCCTCCCGACGTCCCGCGCCGCTTCCGAACCGCCCCCTTTCCGTGCCACACCCGCTCCCCCCTCGCCCCTCGGTTTGCTCCCCTCGCCTGCTCGCGGCCTCGGCGCTGCCGCGCGCCGCATTCAGCCCACCGCCGAAGGCGCAGCGGGGCGCGGAATGGGCGCGGCCCGCGCGGCACACGAACGCCGCGCCATCACCGCGCGGCGGTGGCGGGGTTCGCGCGCATAGCGCGGAAGGCCCACGGGTGCGGGGAGGGCTCGCAAAATGGGGGAGAGTCGAGGGGCTCGAAAGCGGCGGCGGAAGATTCAGTCTCGCGCGCGGAGCGAAGCGCGGATGCAGGGCGGCAGCGGGGGAAGTGGGGGGCGGAGAGGCGCCGCAGGGATGGGGGGAGTTGGAAGGCAGGTGGCGGTTGTGGTGGGAGGGGTGGGGGGAGGAGGAGGCAGGGGAGGAGCGAGAGGGGAGAAGCGGGGCCAGAGTGCGAGATGCATGGGCGGATTCGTGGCAGGGAAAGGATGAGGAGTGCAGGTGAGATGGAGGTGGGAATGGGTCCGTAACGAGAAGCATAGAGCAAGTGAGAGAGACTGGGAGGAGAGCTAAGCTGGAGCGGAGAAGGGAGAGTGAAAGCGAGAGAGGGAGTGGAGCGTGCAGGGGCAGCTGGTGAGGCGCCTGGGCTGTCCATACCCGTCCCTGCACTCCTACTTCTGTGCTCCTGTGCACATGTGCGGGGGTGTGTGCGTGTGTTGCTGTATCAAGTGTGTGTGGTTTGCTGCCCCACAGCACACGCAGCAACAGGAGCATGTGTGAGCGTGTGTGCGTGCATGCGTGTGTGCGTGTGTGCGTGCATGCGTGTGTGCGTGTGTGCGTGCATGCGTGTGTGCGTGTGTGCGTGCATGCGTGTGTGCATGTGTGCGTGCATGCGTGTGTGCATGTGTGCGTGCATGCGTGTGTGCATGTGTGCGTGCGTGCGTGTGTGCGTGCATGCGTGTGTGCGTGTGTGCGTGCATGCGTGTGTGCGTGTTTGCGTGCATGCGTGTGTGCGTGTGTGCGTGCATGCGTGTGTGCGTGTGTGCGTGTGTGCGTGCATGCGTGTGTGCGTGTGTGCGTGCATGCGTGTGTGCGTGTGTGCGTGCATGCGTGTGTGCGTGTGTGCGTGCATGCGTGTGTGCGTGTGTGTGTGCATGCGTGTGTGCGTGTGTGCGTGCATGCGTGTGTGCGTGTGTGCGTGCATGCGTGTGTGCGTGTGTGCGTGCATGCGTGTGTGCGTGTGTGCGTGCATGCGTGTGTGCATGTGTGCGTGTATGCGTGTGTGCATGTGTGCGTGCATGCGTGTGTGCGTGTGTGCGTGCATGCGTGTGTGCGTGCATGCGTGTGTGCATGTGTGCGTGTGTGCGTGCATGCGTGCATGCGTGTGTGCATGTGTGTGTTCTTCCCTGCAGCAGCAGCGCATCAGCCCCACCAGTGGCGGGCGTACCACAGCAGCCAGCAGCAGTGGTGGACGACCCGCGTGCCCTCGCAGACCCCGACAGCACCTTCCTCTCCGTGCATGGCGTCATGCTGCATGCCAAACTCACCTCACCATCCCCATACCCATCATCACCCCCATCCCCATCAGCATCCCCATCGCCACCACCATCGCCATCCCCACTGCCGTCGTCCCCCTCGCCGCATCCCACGCTGCTGCTACACGGCTTCGGCGCCTCGCTCTTCTCCTTCCACCGCCTGCAGCACCGCCTCTCCCACCGCCTCTGCTCTCCATCCCTCTCCTTTGACCGCCCCGCCTTCGGCCTCTCTGCTCGCCCGCCCCCCTCCCCCCTCCCTGTCGCTTCTCCTGCCTCTGCCCCCGCCTCACACCCCTCGCCCTACAGCCTGGCGTACAGCCGTGATGCCACCGTTGCCTTTGCACACTCCCTCCTGCATGGCACGCTGCACCCAGCACAGGGGGCGGACGGGAACGAGATGCCAACGCTAGCAGGAGGAGCAGAGGCGTTTGGGGAGGGAGTGATTGGGGAGGAGGGGAATGAGGGAGGCGGCAAGGAGAGGGGGGCGGGAAGGGTGGTGCTTGTTGGGTGAGTGTAAGGGGACGGGGCAATGGGTGGGAAAGGGGTGTGTGAGAGGACATGGGGTCTAGTGTTGCACACTGCTGTAGTGCTTGAACCTTCATATGCTATGACATATTGTCGTGAATCATGACATGTCATGCCATACCATGTCATGCCATACCATGTCATGCCATACCATGCCATCCACTACCATGCCAAATCATGCCCTGCCATGCCATACCGATTCCTCCATCACCTCCCCTCTCCTGTTGCTCCCCTCCCCCTCCCATCCCCCCCCGTCCTTCCCTCCCTCCCACCGTATCCTCCACCCGTCGCTCCCTACCTCTCACTTCCCCGCCCCCAGCCACTCTGCCGGGTGTCTGCCAGCCATAGAGGCAGCTCTCGCCCGCCCCGATCTCTTCTCTGCCCTCGTCCTCATTGCACCTGCCCTCGTGCCGCCCTTGCTGCCGCCCCGCACCCAATCGCCCCCCTCCTCATTGCCTCCTCGCCCTGCTGCTCACCACTCTGCGGGAGAGACCGCAGCAGGAAACGAGGGAGAGGCAGGGTTAGGGAGTGGGGAAGAGGGGGCTGGAGGAGCAGGAGGAGGAGGGGAAGGAGCAAGTGATGGGAGGGGCAAGCCTGGGGGCGTGGGTCGTCTTGTGGCGGTCGCATGCTGCCTTGCATCTCTCACTCTCTCCCGCGTGTTGCTCCTGCTGCTATCTCTCACTCGTCTTGCTGTCACCGCGTGCACGGCCGCTGTCGCTGCTGCTGCTGTGGCCGTGGCGTCTATGACCCTCCTGCTGCAACCCTTCTTTGCACTGCTTTGTTCCACACCACTGCCACTCCGTGCTGTCACTTACTCTAGCGCTCCCAGCAGCACAGATAGCACCGCCAGCAGCAGCAGCAGCGGCGGCGGCGGCAGCAGCGAGCATGGAAGTGCCCTGGGAGCTGCTGGTGCATGCGTTCACCTCGCCCTCACTCTCACCTTCGCCCTCCCCTTCCTCCTCGCCCTCCACGTCGCCTTCCTCCTCTCCTCCCTCTCATCCTTCTCTGCATCGCTACTAGCTGTCCTCACCTGCTCGCCGCACCTTCCCTCCGCCCTCGCTGCGCTCTTGTTACGATGCGAGCCCATGCGACTCATGGTACACTGTCAATCCCAACACTTGCCCCCCGCATTCTCCCCTCAACATTCTCTCCCCTCAACATTCTCTCCCCGCATTCTGAGGTGCCTAGAGTATACATGCGTTTTCTGGGTACTGGGGGGAAAGGACGGATGGGTTTGGTAAGACAGTGGATAAAGAGAGGCAGGCGGTTCAATGCAGTACGGTGCGATGTGGTGTGGTGCTGTTCAGAAGATAGGCGAGTAGGGCTTTGTGCCATCCCATGCCATGCATCCCATGCCATGACATGCCATGCCATGCCATGCCTGCCATGTGTTCAAAACTAGTGGCCGTGTGAGCCCATTCATAGCATCAGAGGCAGAGGGCTACGTGGACATGCTGCTACACCTGCAACACATCTCTGCCACCTCCACATGCATGCATGTACACGTACATGTGCATGCACGTGTGTACGTGCACTCATGGGCTGTTGCAGTGTGTCTGATTACCTTCCACTGCTCTCTCAACCCCTCTCTGCCTCTCCTCCCTCTTATCTCTGCCCTCTCTACATCCAACACACCTCTCTACATCCAACACACTTCCCCTCACGCGCACACACCAGGTGCGAGCAGTGATGGGCACCGTGGGAGTGGCAGCAGTGAAGCAGGCATGGAGGCACCCCTCCCTTTGCTCGCCAGCCATTCTTGATGGCTACACCAGGGCACGTCCTCTCTGCCCCTCACCCATGCGGCCCCTCAGAAGCTGCCCCCAGTCGTCACAGCTGCATGCATGTTGCCCAACTACTGCTGCACGACAATGTTCCTTCCTTAACCTCGCGCCCCCCACCTTGCACCATCCCCTCACCCCTTCATCCCCTCACCCCTTCATCCCCCCACCCCTTCATCCCCTCATTCCCTCGTCCCCTCGCCTCACCTTCTCGCCCCCCACTTCCAACCCCCTTCTTTCTCTCTGCTAAAAAAATCCTCCTCCCTCCTCTCCCTCCCCTCCCTTTCCTTCCCCCTCGCCTGCCACACGCCAGCCCCTGGCGTGTCGCAACTGGGACAGGGCGCTAATAGAGTTCACAGTTGCAGCCACGCTCAACCCTAACACTGCTACCAAACTGCACGCACTCGACCTCCCTGGTGAGTGCCACTGCTTGCTTCCCCTTGCTCCCCTTTCCACTCCCTTGCCCCCCATGGATTACTTTAGAGGAGTTACTTTTGAGTGTACATATGCCAGGTATGGTAAACAAAGGCCCAGGAGCCAGGCTGTTGTGTCGGCAGAATGACGTAGTGGGGTAGGGAGGCAGCTCATAGACTCTTGGTGTATGGATTCAGATTGTGGTGCGTCGAGGTTCTGAGCATGGCGTTTGGAGAGGTGGGACCAGCAGCTGAAGCTGTCTTGGCTTCAATATGGTCAAGAGGGCTCAACGTTCAATAGCACTGCGACCAGTTTCAAGGCGGCCTAAAATTTGGCCGCACAGAGGGTCTGGAGAGCATGGGCGGCTTCCATTGTCCATGGGTCACTGATTCGTCTGAATCTGCTTCTTCTGTATCTGCTTCCTCTAAGTTTGATCCAAAGGAAAAGCAGGGGGTCTGGTTCAAAGTATCTGTTTCTTCGCCTATACCCGTTGTTTTATCACAAGTGCACCTGTCCTACTGATTTTTCGTGCGCTCTCCTCCAAAGTCCATGGTGGTGTTTTGGGACAGCTCCTGCTACTGCACGCTGGAAATAAGTGCTCTTTGCTTCGTCGGACGGGCCGAGGCAGGTGAGATGATTTCAATTCGGTTGGGCAGGAGAGTCAGAAGCTCGGCACGGTGTGTCACATCCTTGTGGTGGAGATCTTCGCAGTCTTTTCTATAGGGTGGCCTTGACCTGAATTCATTTCAAAATGTTGGAAAAGGTATCGAGATGAAAACTGCTAAGGATGAGGCGTGTAAGCTCGAGGAGTCTTCTGTGTACCGTACTTCAGCTGTGGGATTTGAGGTATCTTGTTCCTGGCTAGAACGCTGCTGGCTTGACAGTTCGAACCCTGGGAAAGACACATAAAATATGGTACCACAAAGCAAATATGATTTTTATCTTGTACACGTGGCAGTGGTGTCATGTCAGTTCAGGTTGTAGTTGTGGTACAACAGGTTATAAGGTGAGTTTACACCAGATGTGAATATGGCAGTCATGCAAGCTGCACTAGTACAGTTTGCAGTCTTGACTGTTGACATTTTATGCATCTTTTTCCTCTCATGGTTGGTGCTGCACTCATCCACGTACGGTAGCACTGAACTATTGAATGGTTAATTCCTGGTCTGATATTCGAGTTCAGTATTACATTTGTCATGCCATCCGTCATCATATCCCGACCAGTCCTTGTGGTTGCAGGAAAGTATGACAAGATTCTACCCCATTGGAACGCCAGGAGGGTAGCAGCAGAATTGCCTCGCGCGAAGTTGGTAATTCTTGAAGAGTGTGGCCATGTTCCACAAGAGGAATGCCCAGACGTACTGCTGGCTGCAATTGTTGACTTCTTAAAGCCGGAGGCCCAAATTGTTCATGTTTTAAAAGGTTGACGGGGGGAGGCGCTTCAGTTTTTGGGTTGTGACGAGGATATATTTTGCCAATTTCGTTTTTTTCGCCACAACCAGCCAGTTTAGGTTGCTTTCCCTGGTGGGAGCTCGAAAGTCCCAAATTGAAAGTGCACTTCTTTCAAGTTTGCAAGCTCCTCAAAATCAAGTTTTAAAACTTGACTCACGCGTCTCACAATTTGGGATTGGGGCTTTAAACAATCATTCAGTAATGAATGGACTGCCCTTGCTGATGAAGCATAAATTTTCACAAACTAGCCTGCAAGCATACATATAATGATATGTTCTCGATCTGCAAGAAGAGTTCAATAGTGCAAGAAAGGCACCGATACTGCCCCAGTACTGGTAAGAACCTAGAAGCACTTCCTGTGAACAATGGATGGGCCAGCCTCGTCATACTCGCTCTTGGCAATCCACATCTGCATCACAAAAGGGAAAGTCAGCTCAAAGGGAACGGGAAAAGCATAGAGCTATGGAAAAGGCAAAGACGCATACCTGCTGGAAGGTGCTCAGAGATGCAAGAATGGATCCACCGATCCAGACACTGTACTTCCGCTCAGGTGGAGCAACCACCTTAATCTTCATGGTGCTGGGAGCAAGTGCGGTGACTTCCTTGGTCATGCGATCAGCAATTCCAGGGAACATAGTAGTGCCACCGCTGAGCACAATGTTGCCGTACAGATCCTTCCTGATATCGACGTCACACTTCATGATGCAGTTGTAGCACGTCTCATGGATACCCGAGGCTTCCTTGCCAACCAGCGATGGGTTGAAAAGCACTTCTGGGCACCTAAATCGCTCAGAACCAAGAGTAATCATCTGCCCATCAGGAAGCTCATAACTCTTCTCCACAGAAGACGAGCCCTGTGCAGTCGTCATTTCCTGTTCGAAGTCAATAGCAACGTAAGCGAGCTTCTCCTTAATATCCCTCACAATTTCCCGCTCGGCAGATGTGGTGAAGGAGTAACCCCTCTCAGTCAGGATCGTAACCAGGTACTCGGTCAAATCACGACCGGCAAGATCCAAACGGAGAATGGCGTGCGGCAGAGCGTAACCCTCGTAGATGGGGACAGTGTGGGACACGCCATCACCGGAATCCAGAACAATACCTGAAACCAAAAAGTAGAGCTTAGCAGCGGAACAAATTGCAAATGCAGCTGCGCGGAGAAACAGACCAAAACTTACCAGTGGTACGACCGCTGGCGTACAGGGAGAGCACAGCCTGAATAGCGACATACATTGCCGGCGCGTTGAAAGTCTCAAACATAATCTGGGTCATCTTCTCGCGATTTGCCTTGGGATTGAGAGGAGCTTCAGTCAAAAGCACCGGATGCTCCTCTGGAGCGACACGAAGCTCATTGTAGAAGGTGTGGTGCCAAATCTTTTCCATGTCGTCCCAGTTCGTCACAATACCTGGAAAGTCAAAATGCGCGAAGGTCAGAAGCGAAAATAAAGAAATTTCGTACGTGCTTCATTTGGCAGCAAAATTGATCTCACCGTGCTCAATAGGATACTTAAGCGTCAGAATTCCACGCTTGGACTGGGCTTCATCACCAACGTAGGCATCCTTCTGTCCCATCCCTACCATCACACCCTGATGGCGAGGACGACCAACAATGCTGGGAAACACAGCACGGGGCGCATCATCTCCGGCAAACCCGGCCTGGAAAAGAAGGCACACAGTGAATTAGTTTGAAGTTCCGAGCACGAAAAATCGAGAATGCCGGTGCTACTCACCTTCACCATACCGGATCCGTTGTCGCACACAAGAGCGGAAATATCTCCCTGATCGTCGGCCATGTTGAACGATTTTCACTGCGGAATACCATGACAAAAAACAGAACATAAATCTCTGTGATGCTCCAAGCAAAACCGCCTGGTGCAGTTACGAAGAAAAACGGATATATCTGACACTTGATAACAAGAAAAGGTAACCCTAATAGCCATTGATAAACATGCTCACCAGATGTGGATACGGTGGAGCTAGTGAGGGATGAGTTGCTGTGAGAGTCCCAGAGGGAATGAAGGCGGAGATAAAAAGAGCTTTCTTCGTCCTGCACCTCTTCAATCGACCACACCAGAAATTACCTTTAGGCAACAACCCCAAACTCACGGCACCAGCACAGCGGGCAATGCAACAGAAGGGACGAGGAACATTCGACACTTTTTTTTCGTCCACCTCTATTTAGACGTTGTATTGAGGCAAACACTGGACTGTACTTGTAATTAAAACCCTCGCCAAACCTTGTGATGAGTCCAAAAAGTTTTATTCTTACCGCTGACCGAAATTTGAGACGTAAAGACTCAAGGCACCCCTACATTCCCGAAACAATCTCGACACAGCCCGACCACGAACAGATGCAACCGAGTGAGATTCTAAGGTGAGAAATAAGGTCTGAGTGTTATGAGTTGTCGTTAAGATTTGTCATGATTTCAATATGAGAGGGATTGAGGGTTTGTGGAATGAATATGAATTCATTACTATAGAGGCTGCTCCTAGCAAAGACAGCCCGAACACTTCACGTCAGTTTGGGTTCGGCCTACACTTCGGCCCGAACCACATTCCGAGTCGCTCCGCACCAATCGCGACACATCCAACCCATGCACGTCCCGAGGTCCGCGCCTAGCACGTATTCGCCCTATAAATGCTCGCTTTCTTCATTATCTTGTAATTCTGTAATTCATTCTTTTTATACAGTCTTCCGCGCACTCTGTTTAGTACAACTCATTGTCAAACATTATATATGTTTCTATTCTGTAGGCTATAGTGGGTTTAGCCTTAGGGGGTACAACATTCTAGGTTTTCCTACTTGTACTCCCAATGCTGTTATTCCAATCATTCCTCGTATTATTCTCACATGGTATAGAGCGGGTTCCCTACTGGGACCGTTTTTTTTTCCTAAGGGCCCACCACTACGATTTTTCTTCCTTACCTGCTCGAAGCACGCTTCGCGCCTGCCCTTAAGCGCCTCTTTGCGCCCTTCGCGACCCCTTAGCGGCCTCTTTGCGCCCTTTCGCGGCCCCTTCGCGGCCCTTCGCGGTCCTTCGCGGCCCCTCTCGCGGCCCTTCGCGGCCCCCTCGCCGCCCTTCGCGGCCCCTTCGTGGCCCTTCGCGGCCCCCTCACGGCTCTTCGCGGCCCCTTCGCAGCCTTCGCGGCCCCCCTTCGCGGCCCTTCGCGGCTCTTCGCCGCCCCGTCGTCGCCGCCCCTGCCGCCATTTTCGCGGCCCCGCCCTGCCCCTCTCGACGGTCGTGGCCTCCACCAACAGCAGCCGCCGAGGAGCCCTGAGCAGCTGCTGTTCCTGCCGCCGCCGCCGAGCCTGCCTCCGCCGGTGTTGCGAGCCGCCGCCGCCACTGCCGTCGCTACTGCCCCGGCCCTGCCCTGCAGCCGAGCCGCGGCCCTGCCCTGCCGCCCAGTTGTGGCCCCGACCCTGCCGGCGCACCACGGCCCTGCCCCTCCAGTCGCGGCCACCCTACCCACCCGCCCCTGGTAAGCGCACCGCTGAGCCGCGCCGCCCTGCCGAGCCGCGCCCTTTAGCCGAGTCGCGCTGCCGCTACTGCTG